ACCAACGATCCAAAAGTGGCCATGGCGGAAGCCCCTCTTCTGAGGGAGGTGCAGATGCTACAATGCTTCCAACTCCTGCACCTGATCACCACCCAATTCCAACGTCTGTACACTTCACTGATCAGCGTCAAGGTCAAGCGGCACTCATCAGAGATGCTGTTGCGCGATTTGGTTCAAACAACATCTTGGCACCTGATGGATCAAACTTGCGCGTTTGGCTCAGAGACCTCAGAGAAATTGCCTTCAGTTTCTTGGACAACACTGAATTCTACGACCACAACAACTCATGACCAACTCAAACAAGTTGCAAGAAGCATCTTGCTTGGATCTGTCGACAGGTCAATTTGTTTTGAGTTATACAATGTGGAACTTTTCAAGCTAAAGAAAAGAGCTTAGAGGGGAAAAGAACAACTACACAGGGAAAAATGTGAGTTGAAGACTTGGATTCTGATGAAGCTGCCCTCTTGTCAAGGCTTGGGAGAGAGTTACACTAAGAATTAAAGAAAAGGTGTGGCTATTTCTGTGGGTAATCTTAGTATGAGGTTTATTACTGATGTCTTGTACAGCCCCTTGACAGAAAAAATGGAACCCTTTAATTGGAGTCTTGAGGGCAAACCAATGGACTTGAATTTATGCTTCCTGGTGAAACTGTGTAAAATAAGTTCTAAAGAATGATTCTGACATATTGGATAGAAAAATGTTTTGTAATTGTTTTTTATATTTTTCCTCATTTTCTGATTTTTTCAACATTTTTCAATCATTTTTCAAAGTAGCTCAAAAATCCAGGAGCATCACAATTGCATGTGAAAAGAATGATTATAAATGAAAAATTTAGAAAAATCAATGATTAAAAGTTTAGAGAGCTGAATAAGTTGGATTGATATTGAAATTGAATTCATTTCAGTGCCTGATTGGAGGGTTGGTCTGGTGGATGACACAATCCAAACGTGCTTAAAAAAGCTGTTGATCATTTTTTTTTTTTTTTGATTTTTCATTTATAATCATTCTTTTCACATGCAATTGTGTTGATCATGATTTTATGAGCTACTTTGAAACATGATTGAAAAATACCAAAAAAATCAGAAAATGGGGAAAAATAAACAAAACTTTTACAAAATAATTTCCGTTTCAATTTGTCAGAATCATTCTTTAGAAATTATTTCCCACAGTTTCACCAGGAAGCATGAATTGAATCCATTGGTTTGCCCTCTGGACTCCAATTAAGGGGTTCCATTTTTTCTGTCAAGGGGCTGTACAAGGAACCTGTTGAGAGTGTGAGGATGTGGGGTATTTTGGTAAGAATGAGGCTCTGAGGGGTAATGGTTTCTGGGTTCAATTTCTCATCTTCTGGGGGAAAATCAATAATAATTACTTCTGGTAACTACTAGTAAGTGATGTCTGCTAAGTAATTATCTGTTAACTTCTCTAATGCAAGCATGGGGAACAAAGTAAGTGGGAAAGGGTATTCTCTATATACATGTGGGTGGTTCTGATCAGATACTAGTGGTAAGATATCAGCTGAAGTAAGAAGATGGTATGAAATAAGTTGTATCTGAAAGACAAGTGGTTATGAAATAAATGTGGCTGACAAATGTGCAGTGTGAAATAAACATGTTGAAAAGGAGAAAATATGAAGTAACTTCTTTTTGTGATAAAAATAATATGTAGTGCAAAAGAAATGAGATAAATAAGGACTGAAATAAATATTCTGAGGTGAGATGAGAAATCTGTGTGGTGAAATATATATGTAGGTGATATAAGCAATGAGTAATGAGTTGGAATGAGATGTATGACAGGATGAGAATGTTGATGATATAAGCAATGAGTAAGGAGTTGAAATAAAAGTGAGACTGGATGAGAATGTAGGTGATATAAGCAATGTGTAATGAGTTGAAATGGAATGTAAGATATGAAATACTTGTAGTATGAAATAAATGTAGAATACACTAAATGTAGTATGAAGTAATTAATGTATGAAAGAAGTGGATGATGAGTGAGATGAGACAACCAATATCTGGGATGGGAAAGCAGAAGTATGGGATGAAATAATATATGTAGTCTGACTAAGTGGTATCTGAGATGAAATAACCAATGTTTACTGAAATATTATTATCATAGAAAGAAGGTACTGAGGGAAGACTAATTTGTATCTTGAGATGTGTGATATGTAGTATGTTGTAGCTATGTAGTACTATATATTATGTAACCAAACTATGTGTAAAAATACTATTTTGTAACCTTCTGAACTGGATACAAGATAATGAATTATGTAGCACAAGTATATCAGGTTGTAACATCATAAAGACTACTATGTATAACTATTTTGTACTATATATGACCTTGATTGGTCTCACCACAACGACTTACCCACCAGCTTTGCAATGATAAGTCAACTCTGGTTAAGATTCAGGACTATCAGTCGGTCAGCTCAATTAAACAGGTGGTCCAACTTACATCAAATCACCTGCAACACTGATTCGAACATATCTGAGATATCTTTGACCCTCAGAAATGCCTATGCAGACTTCATAGACTCCGGCATCAATCTGACTAGAGACAATGTTCTTGGACTTCTTCTCCAATTGTCTATCCCTCACGGCACAGATCTCAGAAACAAATTTGATCATCGTGTTGACGGGGTTCTATCATTGAATCGCGACCGACCCTTATCTTTTGAAAAACTGTTATGGGTGTTCTGAGGAGAGCAGGTGAGGGATCTTCTGGGTTCTGAGTCTTGATGGTAGATTGCAAGATGAGGAATGTACAAGGTTCGGATCTCGAACGAACTCCAAGTTCGAAGTTCGTGACATGTACGTAACAGGCTCTCTACATATGTAACGTCCCCAGTTCCAGTCCTCCACAGCTCATAACACTATCCCCCCTTTAATGCCCAAGCCGCCCCCGTTGTTGTTTTAGAAAAAATTTAACTATGGATAAAAAATAAAATAAAAAATTCCTCCTCTTTTGGCTCTGCATTCTTTCCCCGGGCAGCGTTAAAAAACCCAGTGGGAAAAAGCTTGCCCTCTCACTTCATTCTCCGTGACCTCTTGTGTCTTGACGCCGCATCCGGAAACTTGATGTTGAATTCGGCGACCAGTTCTTGACAGTGTTCCAAGTTGTCCACCGGTTCCCACGAGTTCTCCTCCGGTCCGAATCCTTTCCAGTTAACCAAGTATTCGACCTTCTTCCCTCTTTTCCTACAGTCCAGTACGCCTTCTACTTCCCACTCCTCCTCGTCATTGACCTGTACTGGTTCCGGTGAGGGGTGACGTCTCCCAGTGATTGTGTCCGTGTTGTGCTTTTGCAGTACTGAAACATGAAACACCGGGTGAACGCCCTGCATGGATAATGGCAAAGTCAGCTTGTATGCAGATTGGGATATTTTCTTAGAAATTTGGAATGGTCCCAGCCATCGGTGGTCCAGCTTGGGGCTGGGTCTTGTTGTTGAAATATTCTTGCTGTTCAACCAAACCTCCTCGCCAACGTTCCAAATTGGGGTGTCTTTTACTCCTTTGTCGAATTGGGTCTTCATTGATTCTTGAGCTGCTTCTAGACATAACTTGAGTTCTGACTGGACTTCATCAATTTGTTTGAGTCGCTCTTCAACCGCCGGTAGACACTGTTCACTTGATGGGATCCCGCCGTATGAAGGATTGAAACCGTAGTTTGCCTTGAACGGTGAGACTCCAATTGAGACGTGATCATTGTTGTTGTACGCAAATTCTGCCGTTGCCAAAAGGGGTTCCCAGTTGTCCTGTCGGTACTGAACAAAGTGCCGTAGGTACTGCTCCACCGCCTTATTTGCAATTTCGGATTGTCCGTCAGTTCGAGGGTGGTAGGCAGTCGAAGGGTGGAGCCGGATTCCAAGTTGCTTGTCCAATTCTTGTGTGATCTGAGAGATAAAAACACTTCCTCTGTCCGAGACAATTGTCTTTGGTGTGCCGTGGAGTTTCCAAACCTGTTTCAACATAAGATCTGCAAGCTGTTCAGAGTTCATGGACTTGTTGCAAGGAAGGAAGTGGGCCATTTTAGTCAGTCTGTCAATCACAGTGAGGATACTGTCGCAACTGTTGGATAGGGGGAGGTCTGTTATCAAATCGTAGCTAATGTCCGTCCACGGGCCTGCAGGGATGGGCAACGGTTCCAACGTCCCAAATGGTTTCTGGGTTGAGGATTTGACCCGAAGACAAGAGTCACAACCATCCACGTAGCGGTTGACGAAGCTTTTCATTGATAGCCACGTGAAGCTGCGGCGTATCAGTGAAAGCGTCTTTGATCTTCCTGGGTGTCCTGCTAACTTGCTGTCATGGCGGCCCCTCAGGATTTTGGTCTTGAGGTCTTCATTCCGGGGTACTTCAATCCGTCCGCTCCTGTAGAGCACTCCGTCCTTCACCGAGTAATGCTTGGTGGCCTCCTTCATTCGACTGGACACTGGGTTCTCACAGGCTGAAATCAATTCGGTCAGTCTGGAATCAGACGGAGTCAGAGATCGGATTTGGCTTATCAGTTCGCTATCTGTTGGAATATCCTCTGACGGAGTGTTGGGCTCCTCCACACCAAGAATGTCCACTTGGAACCAGTGTTCGGCGTCCTCCAGATCCACAGACTCGTCTTCAAACCAGCAGTCAAATTCAGCCACTTCAGCGAAAGTGTCGGGGGTGATGTTCTCGGGTCGCAAAAGTTGTCCAAAGGTGAGCTTGTCCTCCTTTGAAGGCGCCAGGTCGGGTCGTCTGGACAGAGCATCCGGTTTGGACGACTGTCGGCCCGGTCGGAAAACAATCTCGAAGTCGAAGCATCCCATGGTTTCGGCCCATCTTGCTTGCCTCCTTGTCAGTTGTTTGGTTGTCATGAAGCTTTCAAGGTTCCGGTGGTCGGTGTAGACAATTGCTTGTAGTCGATTCAGGTTGCCCTCTAGATAGTGACGCCATTCCTTGAAAGACGCCACAATTGCCAGCAATTCCTTGTCGAAAATCTCATAGTTCTTTTCGGATTGGACCAATGACCGTGACAAATATGCCACCGG